GAGAGGGGACAGAGACACAAAACACTTAAAGAGGTTGTTGCATCGCGACCGGTCCATCGTATACGGTTCGGCGAGAGAACTCGCCTCTCTCCAGCCGTGTGGGTGCCTGCACGAGGCGCTCGGCGGAGCCCGGGCTCTGGCTCCGCGCGCCCGCGCGGCAGCGGCGGCGGGGCGGGGCGGGGAGACGGCCTGTTCTCCCCCCGCCCCCCCCTTCCCTACGCTACGCAGCGGCGGCGCCGCTACAAGCCCTCGATCTTGTCGTCCACCTCGGCGTACAGCTGGCGCAGGCGGTCGAGGTTCTCCTCGGACGTCTCCCAGTAGCCGCGGCCGTTGGCCTCGAGGAAGGTCGTCACCATGTCGCGGAAGGCGTTCGGGTTGGTCTCGAGCAGCCGCTTCTGCATCTCCTCGTCGGCGATGAAGGAAGACGTGTCGGTGTCGCGAATTCCCGTCCTCTCGCTTAGGCGGCTCCCGTGGCTTGAGTGCCAGTGCGCGCCAGTCCCGTGCCCAGTGTTGCTAGGGAGCTCGTTGATGAGTGTACGTCTAATTCTTTTCGTGCGAGGGAGTTTTGTCGGAAAACAGTTGTAGGGGGAGGGCACCCAGGGCTTGGAGGTTTTTCAGTTGTTTTTTATCGTGCGCTGCTCACTCACTATACACTGAGTGGAGAGAGAGTACACCACACACAAACACTACTCCCCAACACGCGGCTAGCCAGGCCTGCCTGCTACACGATGGCGACGTTCTCAGGGTTCTGTCTGCGTGCCTTTGCTGCCTCCAGCTAAGAGTCGGCAGTAAAGAAAGTGGGCGGAAGCGGGGGCGACAGGGACACGGCGGCGGCGGCGGCAGGGGGCTGGGGGGTCGGCGATGCCGAGATGTGTGCCCATGTTTGTGCGTGGGGGGCGTTGCACGCCGCGGATCAGGCCGGGCGGCGGGAAGGAACCGGACGGCGCGACAGCGGCGGCACAGGGACAGGGGCAGTGGCGGTGACCCAGGATGGTGGCGACCCGCCGCGAGCGGGATGCAGCCGGCGAGGCGAGGTGACAGGTGGGCGCGATTATTGCGCGCTGCTCGAGCGGCACGACAAAGCAACTCTGACGCAGCCATGGTGACCTGCGGGGGGGGGGGGGGGCACCCAGATCCCGTCCCCGGAAGCGTAAAGAACTTGGAATTGGGTCCGGGGGGGGTTTTCAAAGCGTTTTAAAATTTTTGGCCT